TGCCTCGGCAGAATCTGGGGTCCCGAGAGAGGTCCCATTGTTCCCATTTGACCACATCTGGGTCTTCTCGATCAGCATTTCCAGGTTTCTTGCTAGCTTTCCACATGCTGTAGTGAGTACATCAAATGTGAAGATTTGATTTATGCAATTCAATAAATCAAAACACCTAACAATCAAACAATACTGACCTGTAAGGCACCTAAGTTGTTCCTTCAAGTCCTCCATTTCCCTCTGCATGCATAAGACCATGGCAATAAGCTCCTTCTTCGAATAGGTCTGTAAATAATGAGCCTCCTGCCATCATAAAAGTACACAAGCTCAGGTCTAGAATCAAATGTCTTAAGTACATCAACAAGCAAATGTCTCGAATGCTGAACACAAGTGACTCACATCCTACCTCAGACTCAGAAGCAGGAGAACTGTCAGTGTAGAGGTCTGCGGAAGAACAATCCAGCTCATTAACCTGTCATGACAAGAAAGAGTCCTAATATTTTCTATTTACTCAGTCAGTTGTCATTGATAATTGTACAACAGTTCATTTCAGCCGTCAAATCTGATCACATTTTCTCTCCCCATGACCGGATTGAGGTTTCTCTCACACTTCCTCTCATATACTGTTTCAGAACAGCTGTCATTTTGTGTTGCTTGTTTGATAAATAAAGAAAATAAAGAAGTATTACTTCTAAACTATATAAACTTCCATTAATACTGATTACTGACTGTTTGAATACACTTGTTGTTTCTTATGTTTTCGATGAATAAACTATTTTCTTTGGGAAACTGTTTATATAGTTTGATAAAAAAGTATGACTTATTTTTGTTGGTGTACAAAACTGTTGGTGTTCGAAACTGTCTAAGACAGGATGTGATGCAGAGAACTGTGAGTATCCTGGCCAGAAAACATCTGTTGTTTTTCAAAAGTTATTATGCTCTTCATATATATTTGATCTCTATATGATGTAATGTTTATTCTAATTGAATGGTTATTACACTGCATGCTGTTTTTGTGTATTCAAGAGGTATAAAAGCTGATGCTTGGACAATAAACTTTGAAGAAGCTTGACCAGAACAGGACTTTGCATTGGTGAAGGAAACGACTGAGTATTCGACAGTACTGGGAAATACAGGAATAATCTAAGCAACAGACGAAGAAAAAAATATATAAATAGGCTAATTTTCCTCAGAAATGTGTGTTAAATTGTGATATTATTGAGTATATCCAAATCACAGCCGTGCTGATAATTACAACAACAGTAGCTTTAATACTGCTTACATATGCATTGACCAGGTTGATACCTTGTTTACCATGATAAGAAGCTTCCACTGAAATATCAGTCAATGCAATTGTGGTAAACTACCTGTTGAAAAAAAAAACATTTTTAAAAAACATTTTTTCAGCTGACCTGAGTCTGACTAGGTCCCCAAAACCAATCTAAAACCACTGAAGAGACCAGCGTGGGAGAATATTAGACCGGCAAAACATCTTAAGCTGGCTCAAGATGTTATGTCTGCAAAGGTATCCACTACTGTCATGCAAAAGCAACGCTATTGAATGCTCCTTAAAACTCTTTAAATGAGAACCCATATTGTGGCCTTGCACACAATACTGGTGTTTTCCATGGGGGAAGTACCATGGTCATTTTTATAAGGGTACCAACAAAATAACTTGAAAAGAAGAGATTGTTTCAAACTTTCTAAAGTTTCGAATTTCAAAACTTTTAACCCACTGGTGAGCTTGTACTTGGAGAGAAATGAGTACAGGGCTTTAGTTGTGCGAGCGCCTGTAAAGGTTTCGATCAAATGGTGTATTGTACCATGCTTTACCCCATTGTTCTCCATTAGCGGCCAGGCATGGCCGCCTGCCCTGCCTCACACCACTGCTGCAGGATAGGAAAGCATTCAATCTATTGCTATACGGTGCGAAAAGTGCAGTAGTAAACCAACAACAGTAAATTATGGGTGAGATTGTTGCATAAAATGCTGCTATCAACCGACGTGGAACAACTGTGGGAATCAAAACAGAAAGGTTTTGCTGTCCGTCTTCTCTGTCAAAATGCATCCAAAACATCGATTAAACACCGATAATGAGAAAAAGCCCAAACCTTGATGTCTAACTTCTGAAGCCCGGCGTCGGATGAGCTATTTTCTTCTGCTTTCTCTTTGGAAGAATACATTTTTCTTCGCTTCTGTGCACCGTTCTGTTGGGCAGTCGGGTTGACATGATACTAATTATTCTTTTGGGATCAAACATAAGCCATTAACAGTTACAAACAAACAATGAGACATTAAACACTCAAAACCACGTTTCCATCGATCATCTTACACTGAAGCAGTCCGGTTTTTGTTCCTCTTCCTCATCCTCTTCATTTTCGTAGTCAATAATTCGCTGCGCTTTTGTTTTCCTTCTCATTTCTCTCCCATTATTTTATTTGCGAGCGAGAAAAAAGGCTCCACTCTGCATAATGCAGTTACGCTGTATTGGACTAAAATAACACTATTCCTCTCTTTCTGAGATTTATACGCTGCAGATCTACTACAGATACCGACAACTATGTTCCTTGTGATTATTCTACTTCAGCTCAAATACTTGAGTGAATCCATGGAAGGACAGCACTTTACCGAGAAATGACAGGGAACACATTTGAGGCTAACGCACCGTAACGTAACGTGGCACGGGCTTGAGTCCCGTCTAGATTCAATCTAATGGCAGATCCTCACAACAACAGGAACTCCTTTGCAAAAATTTTACCATGGTAACCCTAGTTTCCGCCAAAATACCCTAGTTACTGCTGTAAAACCGTAATAAATCATTACAATTCTCTTTCAAACAGTTCAAGAAGCTTTCAGAATCTTCGTTTATTTCATTGATGGCACTGTCACCAAATACCAAGTTACCTCCGTTTTATTGTAGTAACAGTAACTGCAGTAATTATGGTTTGTCGGCGGAAACTATGGTTACCACGGCAAATATTTATAAGGGGCGCTCTTTTAACTCATGTTTCCCCTCGATATGTAACATATTGTATATGCGCTCATAAACAATAGTGCATTTCCAACGACAGTATTATTTACACGACAAATTTAGCCTGACAATTGAGAAAGTTAGATTCGTCATGCAGTTTTAAGAAAGATTTCAACCAAATAATTAACTTGAGTCTTATTTTGCGATTATAATACGTCTTTGGTGTGAGGAAGATCATAGTTAATATTAATGTCAGACTCTTTACAAAACAGATGTACCAGTGTACTCAGTTTCCCCTAAAATACCATAGTTACCACTTTAAACATGTATTAGCCACCACTTTCATATGATTAAATAAAAAATATTTGTGGACTGTATATAGGAGATCCTGTATTAGGATGCATTCATTTCAAAAGCAAAATTGAGCATTGTTTTGTATAAAGTGACAATTTCAGTTTAGGTCAATGACGGCTTTCTGCTTTTGTAATTATTGGAAACCTACACACAAGAATGTTTCTTAAAATGAATTTTTAAAGTCTTGAAGAGCCTTACGTAAATGTGAATACATCGACTGATAAGGGGAAGGAAGAAACAATGACACTATTTAGGTTAAATGCAGTCACACAGACTAATTTCCAAGTATCAAATGTGTTTTCTAGAATAAACACATTCTCTGAAATCTTTCCTGACTGATCCAGTGATAACCATAAATTGGAGCTTGACATCTTGAATGGCAATATGTTTACTGCCTCCAAATGACATTATCATTTCCAAGATTTTTTCCTCAGTAATCAATTGTTATGCTTTCATATTTTCTTCAGTAACTCCTGACTTATGCAGCATAGCAGCATTTATGAACAACAGTTTATTTTTTGTTATAAGGCAATTAACTATGGTCTGTTTAAGAGTTCAAACATACTTGAGCATTCAGTGTGGCCTCAAGAAATTGCAGTGCAACCAAATGCTAACAGTGCTCTTATATAACTCTCCTGACTGTATCTATAATTGTTTTTTTTATCTGAATTTCTCAATGCATGCCTCAGAGAGAATGTGAGTTGGAGAGACAAGAAAAACTTGGAGGCATTCAGTTATTTTTCCCACTGCCTCTCAAGGCTGACTGACGCAAGCATCTGACACAAAGAAGCATGTTTGACGTAGATATCCTTTAAAAAATAGCTATAATTTAAAATTCATCAAACAAGAAAGATAATGTTATGAGGTACTCACAATCTTGAACCCCGTTATAGAACACGCGACCTCTGGCCTGTCAAACACGCTCAATGAGCGCCATCTAGTGGCTATAAGTAACTAAACGCATTTTTATAGTAAAGTATTTTATTGAGTCAAGTTGTCCAAAGTTATATAATTTAATACAATGAATTAACTACAGTATTTACTGCGACATAAGCTACTTTTATCTGGTTGCTATTTTGTGTGCTTCATAATTGTTTTAATGTTGAAATGTTGATGAAAAGCCTATAACAGGCTATTTATTTAATGGCTGGTAACATTGTGACGAGAATTATGGTCAACAAATGTAAAAATGAACAGTATGCATTTTTCTAAATGTCGTCAGAAACGTTTTTGTAGCCTAGACTTTATGTGCCAATGGAAAATTGACTTTCAAAGGTAAGCCTATGCTAAGAAATATTCATTGGAGTAAAAAGAGTGTCAACTAGCCCCATATGATAATACATGACTCTTTTGGCATAAAGCATTATCCTTTAATTAGCTTCTCGGTATCAGAGTATTTCTGGCCAGTGTTTTAGTGATTGTCAATAATATTGTGACTTTCAGTACCACTTCAGAATATTCGCCAATATTGTATTCCCACGGAGCTCATCAAGAAAGGGAAGAAAAAATAAAGGCGGGACAGCCAAGTTAAATAGATACCAGTTTTAAATTATGTTAAAATAAAAAATAAAATAAAAAATCTTATTTGTAGGTTTGTATACAACGGGGAATTTTGATGAATGATCTCATCCCGTATGTGCACTAGAATATTCTACGCGTGCGCAGTGGCACCATGTTTCAACGCCTCAGTTCAGCCAAGTTGTCGGCAAGAGGAAATTCTGCAAGTCATGGTGGGCCATTCAAAGCGAGAGGGGAGTGACAACCACATAGAGATCTAAGGGAATAAATGCGTAGTTAGTTGGAAGTGACTGATGACAGTGGCTGTTTATGCATGTAGAGGCATTCGGAGTCATTTGTCAGTAAACTCTTCCTCAGTAAGTATGAAAACGGACTATTTTGATGCTATGCTAGCGGGCTAAGTTAGCTATAGCTTTCGAAATTGCGAACGTGGGAGTGTGTGTCAGTGCGGCTGCTGCAAACGCACAAGACAGCTTTGCGTGAACTGAAGGAACCGTTTTGAACGGTTAGGTTTAACCAGTTGACAAGAACTGGGTATTTAATAAAAGTTGTTATTAGTGATTCATGTCCCCGGTAGAACCCCGTCAAGGCCCGCCTCCTTATTGGCTGTAGCGCGGAGGGGAAATGAGTGACAGGCATCTTAGCCAATCAGAGGCTGTTGCGCCACTTGTTGCTAACGGGCAGCTGGGCTGTGATAGCGGAAGTGTAAGAGGTCAATAATTCACAGTGCTTGGACAAGAAAATTGTTCTTAGATGAGGTTTTAGAAGGAGGAGATGAAAGTAGGCAGAGAATGTCATTAGGCCGAAGCTCAGTCACCGATCTGGAATTTATTGGTGGCGAATATGCGCGATTTCTTTGCGTACTTTTGGTTATTAGAGGGCTACAGGGATGGTTGGACTGATGTGGGTGTGATTGTGAGGTTGGTGTATGTGGTGGGAGGTCGTTAATATTTTATAATAACAGTTTCATAGTAAGACTGTAAATTGTCATTGTATTATTTTAATTAGGTTGTTAAAACACTTTGTTGTGATATCTGATGTGCTTTTATAAATCTGAATGTTACCATTAGAATTTTGAAATGTAATTTGTGTATTATACTACATTATGATGCTTAAATTTTGCTTAATTTTTGTCTTCTCTTTCTATGCAGGCTTGGTGAACTTTGAAAGTGCATGCTTGCAAATATATAAGCTGGCTATTATTTGGGTGAAAAAAAAGACAACAAAAGAGGATTTATCTTCACCTTTAGTCCTGTTTTATTAGAAGCACATGACTGTGAAACAAAGCGAGCATCCTTTTATCTTGTCTCAGCTTTCGATTTTCTATCATATACAAGGCTGACCATAACCTTAATTGGGTTTGACATTTGTTTGTGTGTATTTTTTTTGTTTTTGCTTTTTAGTTCCTTTTTAAGTTTTTTTTTCTTTTTTGTTCCTTTGCAAAGAAATGCTTTACTTGAAAAAGTACTTCACAGAGGGTCTTATTCAGTTCACTATCCTCCTGAGTCTAATTGGGGTACGGCTGGACTTGGACACTTATTTAAACAATCAGCTCCCCCCACTCCGTGAGATCATCCTGGGCCCCAGCTCGGCCTACACCCAGACGCAGTTCCACAATCTCCGTAACACCCTGGACGGCTATGGCATCCATCCTAAAAGTGTGGACCTGGACCATTTTTTCACCACTCGTCGGCTTCTGAACCAGGTGCGCTCCCTGGATCATCTGCGTGTGCCCAGCACCGAGCTGAGTGCCTGGCTGGTGCATCGTGACCCTGAGACTGTGGTTTCGGCAACCAGTCAGTCTGGCCCCAGCATTGCCCTGGACAATGGGGGCAGCCTGGAGGACGTGAACAACTCCGAAGCCTCGGCAATGAGAGGGACTGGCGGTGCTTCTGAGACCACTTACAGCCTCAGCGGAGAGGACAGCCTGGGAGCCGTGGCCCCTGAGGACAGTCAGGAGCAAGGGGAGAGAGAGAGCAGCGACGACCTCTCCAAAGAGGTAAAGTAGCTGTGTGTTTTTAGCTTAGCCTACAGTAATTAGATTGACATTGGTTCGTATTTGATTTCTTCAAAGAGAGAACCGTGTTATGCTATTATCTCTAGCTATTAGATTAAGCGTATTGCATAGTGGCTATTGTGAGCTAGTAGTATTCTTACTCTACATTATGAGCCTTACAATAGTGGCTGGACAGGGTGTGGTCTCATTGATAGAGCTGTGTATGTCTTAAAACTAGGTAGTTGTGCTAATGTTAATGTTTTAGGCTAATAGTAATGTAAATATTACATTTTCTAGCAACATCACAGCTTTGACATGTGGAACAAATACTGCACTTAATCAAATGGAGATTACAGTAGTAGTAGTAGAGGTCATCTACTGTTGTGGTTGTCAGGATAGGATATGTAGCATTTCATTTTTTGAGAGAGACGTGGTGATTTATTTAGGAATACATGCTTGGGACAATTAGCCAAATAAGAGCTGACAAATCTGCATCATTTCCCTCATTAAATGTAATTATCTGATGATGTCCTGTAATCTTAGACCTTTTATGACACTCCCCTTTAATGAATATATTTCTAGGACATTGACCTCATAGACATCCTATGGAGGCAGGATATTGACCTTGGTGCTGGCCGAGAAGTATTTAACTATAGCAGTCGGCAGAAGGAGAGTGAGGCTGATAAACCTAATGAAGAGAACGAGGAGGCAGGTGGAAGAGAGCAAAGCTGGAGAAATGGACGTAATCTCCAAGCAGTGCAGAGCCTAACTCATGTTGATGGAGAGACAGGAGAGAGCATACCTGCGGAGGTATGTGCTGTAATATGCTAGGATTACGGGAGGGTGTAAGGAGCACAGCAAGGTTTTGGTTAATAATGCTTTTAGATTATTCAAAAAGGCTGGTGAGCTGTAGATGTGAAGTGAATTTCAGTCAGCCTTGGAATTACATGGACTTTTCTTGTTGTATTTCCTAGCTTACCAGTCTCGGTGCTCAGACTTCATTATCCCTGCAGGAATGTCTGAGGCTTCTGGAGGCCACCTTTCCATTTGGAGAAGAGCCAGAGGTAGCGACAGTGAAATTCATGCTACATTACAGATTCAAACTTGGCAGTTTTTTTTTGTTTGTCATTTTACATTCTTTTTTCTCTTTAGTTCCAGGCCACTGAACCCACTTCACAGCTGAGAGCTTCAACTGAGGAAACACCTTCAACATCACAAGGGATCCCTCTACAAGCCCCTGTGTCTCAGTCTGATACACCTCTAGACCTGGAGCAGCAGTGGCAGGACATAATGTCAATAATGGAACTGCAGGTTTGTACATTTATTGCATTCAAAATTGATGAAGGGAATATATAGGCATTATTTATGGCTTAGTGAAAGTGGTTGTAATAGTGTCAAATTAAAAGTCATTTTAAAAGGACATTATAATATGCTTTTGGATTCTATAGCATTTCCAATTAAATTTACTTGTGATAAATGTGGTTTATCCATCGAATAAAAAGTAATAACACATTTTTCTTAAACCATGAATACATGTGAGTGTATGCAAAAAAAAATATATATATATATATATATATCTAGACTTACCAAAGCCATCCTGTGATCCAGACTGTGGCATGAAGAGGGAGGAAGAGGCCCCCTGATTGGGCTGGAACCAGATCTGCACATCCTGTAGTGATCTGAGGGCATAAGAGAGTGTTACATCACTACAGATCTGAATGCAAACTTCATGTCTTCATTGAGAGCTTTTTTATTTGAGTAACTCACTTTGTATGCACGCAGTAGAGTTTAATCTGGATTCCTGATTTGGACTCCGAGGGTCCCTGGTTTCCTTCTGTGAGAAGATATTATAGACACAAAAATATTAGAAAGCATCAATTGAATGTATCTTCACTCAACTTACAGCAAGACAACAAACATTTGCACACACAAAATGCATGAAAATAAGGAAAGCAACCTATAGCGGCTAATGAACCAGAAGTCTCGCCCATAGGCTTACTTCCACGATGAAGAAAAAGGTGGATATTTTTTTCTAATTAAACAATGGTTTACTGAACAAATTACTTTTTCCTTGAATTGCAATTCCTTGCATTGCTCTATAAAAGTCTAAGAGACTAATTGACACCGCATCATGAGGTTTTGTAGGGATCTTATATGATATGCTATAATTTCCTGTTTTATGTTGTTTTACTGTATGTTGGTCTTACCAACCAGTAAACAGACTGACTTGGCAGACAAAAGTTTTTCAAATATTAATAACCACTTAAAATATTTTTTCCAAAAAATACGTTTTTTTTTTTTTTAAAGAATTTCCTCCTTTCAATCAGACTTTTTAATAATTTTTTTGATGATCTCTGAACACTTTTATCACCCTGACCCCCCCCACCCCTGAATTTTTATTATCCAAGTGTATCCAAGTCATTGTTTGTGTGAAATGAAATGAAATATAATTTAGTTGAATGAATAGATAGGACTATAGTAATGAGCATCACTCCATTAAACCCTATCAAATATCCATTACGTCTTTTTTTAGGACATGGAGGTGAACAATACAGCAGTAAATGTCACCATGAATAATGACCCCAATAACAACAATGCCAGCACCACCGAATCAGCCACAATAGGAAGTTTTGAACTCCCACGGTCCACTCTCATTAACCAGGATGTTAGTCTCCACCAGGCTTCGCTTCCCAGTTGCAGCCAGGACTTTCCCACACTCTTCAACCCCGAGCTGGATTCCACCAGGGTACAGCGGCCTACTTTAGTCAGGCTCTCTTCTAGCAACTCCTCCAACATCAATTCAACATTTGGAGCTACTAACTTGACCGGACTCTTTCTTCCACCACCTCTAAACAGTACTACAAACCTAACCACCACTCCGGTGCTGCCAGATCCATTTTCCAGTCTGTTGGAAGAGTCTATGCTGGATGAAATTAGCCTGCTGGACCTTGCGATGGAAGAGGGTTTCAGCCAAGACCAGGCTTCTCAGCTCGAGGATGAGCTCGATTCCGACTCAGGTCTTTCACTGGACTCCAGCCATAGCCCAGCCTCACCTAGCAACTCCGAGACATCCTGCTCGTCAGCTGCATCATCTTCATCCACCTCTGCTACGTTCTCGGAGGAAGGAGCTGTGGGCTACAGCACCGATTCAGAGGCGGCCACAGCAGAAGCGGAGGAAGGAGCCGTCGGGGGCTACCAACCAGAGTATAGCAAGCTGTGCCGCATGAGTTACCAAGATCCATCTCAGTTCCATGGCATACCGCAGTTGGAAAATGTCAATCACAACCACACCTACAATCTTCCACTGGCATCATCCTACTCTGAGCGTTCTCAGCTGTCCGCATCCTGCAGCAAGAAAGGCAGAGACAAGCAAATGCAGCAGACGAAGCTCCAGCCACCACAAGACTGTGTTGACAGGCAGTCTAGCCGTGATGAACGTAGGGCGAGGGCCATGGACATCCCGTTCTCCAATGACAAGATCATTAACCTCCCCGTCGAGGAGTTCAATGAGCTTCTGGCCAAGCACCATCTCAACGAGGACCAGCTCTCGCTCATTCGCGACATCCGCCGCCGCGGAAAGAACAAAATGGCGGCGCAAAACTGCCGTAAACGCAAGCTAGACACCATCCTGAAACTCGAGCAGGGCGTGCAAGACCTGCAACGCGAAAAAGCTCAGCTGCTGAAGGAGAAGATGGAGTACTGTAAGTGCATCAGACAGACGAAGCAGAAGGTTCAAAGTCTTTCCCAGGAATTGTTCGCACAGCTGCGGGACGAGGAAGGCAGACGCTACTCGGCCAGCGAATACTTTTTGCAGTACGGCCCTGATGGCGTTCTTCTCATGCCTCGTAACATGACCACAGAACAAAGCAACAAGTCCGACAAGAAGCAGAAGGACAAAAAGAAGTGAGGAACTCGAACTGTTGCCCTTTTATTTTTCGCGAAGGCACTACCATACAAAGTATTTCGAAAGGCAAAGGAAGCCTTTTTCTTTGAGACGATTCTAGCAAGGAAAAGAAAATTGCATCATTGGTTACTCTTCCTGCATTGGGTTTTCTTTGTTCCTTTTTGGTTCAGAAGTTTTCTCCTGAAAGCGGCATTAAAGCAGACGTGCTTTATGTAGTACTGATTTCTCATTGATGTACAGAAAGATGCAAGCGAACGGGATACTTTCAGATGCCAACTGAAAGAACTGTCCAGAACGTGAGGTCATGGAGGACACCAACAAAATGTTCTTAATTGAAAGAACTGTTCGGTAATGCTCCCAAAAATGTAGTCGATGACAATAATACACCATACTAAGATGACGTTGACCACAAGGATGCAAAAATTGTTACATTTTCAGCATTAGCGCATGCTGTGTGTTTGTGAGTACCCTGGGATTTCATTGGTGGGTGAGAAGCAGAACCCCTGAGAGCTGGTAGAAGAAGAGTCTACTGAACGCTAGAAGTGAAGCCAAAAGAAACTACAGGCATGCCAATACTAACCAAAGGTTGTGTTGTTCCCATAACGAATCATACAGGTCACTCTTTGGATCCAAATTCACGTTTTCACTTTAAAAAAAAAAAGAATAAGTTTGTTAGTCTCACTGGACCGCAAACCTGGAGGGTCAATGCCATTTACCAAGGAACTTGGACGGCGAAACGAATCGCGCTAATGAGTGAGTTGGAATTTAGCTTTGGCTTGATGAAAAGCATTACAGATGGAGGATGGATACACACTGCATTATTACTAATAAATCAGCTTCTGTACCCTTTTCAGCACTGTAAATCAACACTGTAGTTTGCCTATAAGCTTTTTTCCTCTTCTGCTGGGGAAAGGGTCTCTCAGGCCTTTCTGTCAGCTTTTAATGTAACTCTCTCCCATGTGCATAAACTTTTTAATAAGCCATCAGACACGGACACTTGAGTGGCATCAGTGCAGTTTGCTCCTGAATCATGTGATTGAGTCTGGTGTGTCTTGGTATACAGGATTCATTGAAACGAACCGAGTCGTTTGCTTTTAAAGTTCATAATGTTTAGCCTTTGTTGCAGGTCAAAATGCTCTGTTGCTACTGCAGCTCATGCTAGTGGCTTTTGTCTGGTGCAGTGGAGGAACGTTAAGAGATGCTTTTGTTACAGTTGTACTGTCATTTGAAAAAGGAATTAAAATTCTCACCAAAATATACGAATAGTAGCAGGCATAGGTCGTTATTACATTTAAACTACAACTTCTCATTAGCTGCGTCAGTGTCTTAGCTTTGATGTGACGTGAACCTGACTTTTTTTCTTTTACCCAATACACTACTTTTAGTAAAAGTACCTTCATTGCTAATTGAGTGAAGCCATGAATGGTCTCCTGGCAAATTAAAGCAGTTAAGCTTGTGCCAATAACCAACTGGATCGTGCTTTACTGCAGCCTGAGGATACAGCTGACTTTATACACTGACATATCAATGAATGGGTAGAAAAAACCCGTAACACTGGTGTGAATGTCTAATTTACATGTTGTTCATCTTCATCCTGTTCTGTCAGTCTCTGTTGCTTCCATCTACACTGTTCATATAGCACCATGAGACACAGTCAGTGTCCGTTTTGGTGTGACATGAATAAATATGCAAGACATGGTAATTTTTTGTCTCAGAAATGGAAAAGAGACTATCTTTATGTTACTGGTTACAAATACTTAGCATAGTTGGGGTAGAGATAATGAAAAAAGATGAGCGATTTGTTCACTTCGATTAACTTTGAATCCCTGTTACACTGTCATAACTACTTGCCATTAAGCACTGTTGTGTTTCGTTCGTCTCGTTCGGTTTGTAAATATTTTTGTGTTCTGTATGTCTCTTGTCCTAATTGCTTGGTTTAGCCAGGCCTTTTTGCACCTCCTTTGGATTTGCCTGTTCAGAGTATTCCTATATGATTTATGTTGAGAGATTTGCTGGCAATCTGGAATTGTTCTTTTATTAATTATAATAAACATTTGTTTCATTTCCTTGGTTTTCCTTTTTTTTTTTTAAAGTGAGAAAATTTGTGATTATTATAAACGAATGGCAAAATAAATTGAATTAAACAATAAAGATGTCAGAGGATTTGGTTATACTGTAAAAACTCTCCTGATAGCTATATAAATATGAATTATGTTGTCTTTATTGCTGGCGAAGCTCAATTTTTGCTTATATCAGCTTCAGTAATGCTTGGTAAAATGGTACTACTCTTTATGGGGTAACACTTTATTAAGTTCAGCTTAATTTGTGATTTGTTTTCAATTAACATTGCCGTTTTTATGGCATTAATCTAGGTCAGGGATGGGCAACTGGCGGCCCGCAGTGTCTTTTAGTACGGCCCGCTGGATCATATTAGACTCGGATGATCAATTTTAAAACATTTGAAAAGTAAGTCACGTAAAGTTTGCTTTCAGTTTATGATGTTAATACTATCTCCAACTAGGAAAGGTCGCTATTTCCAGCCGCTCACCTATTCATTTCAGCGTAGTAGGACAGGCACTCTAATGTAAACATTCATTAACATTAGCAAATAATAAATGAAAAACTGACCATGAAAACAGTATTTTCAAGTCAAGATGGTAAACAGATTATCTTTTTACCAAGTTCAAGGGGATACCCATATGTTTGGATTGTTTGGAAATCTGTATTTTATTTAAATCGCCATTACACCACTGCTCACAAACAACGGGGACGCCAGAGTTGCACTTGCCTCAAATTTCAAAGCTAAAATTCATAGTCAACAAAAGCTTTTTGCCAAATGCATGACAAAAATGTTTGCACTGGACTATGTTCTTATTAGGGTTTCCGCGGGTCCTTAAAACGTCTTCAGTTAAATTGTTTACATTTAAGGCCATGCAAACTCTTAAATGGTACAAAAAGTCTAAATTATAAGAGGTCTTTGAGGACGGAAAGACAAGAATTGCTATATGGATTAATATGACGATTAAACTTCAAAAGGCTACGATTTCACTGAATAAACTTGAGCGCTGCACGTCAGCTTTGTGTACTGCGGTTACCGGGGAAAGCACTATATGCACAGTTCCGAAAGTGAAACCTGCTGGCAGAGAACGAATTTGCTTTTTCAATAAGCCCATCTGCTATTTTTGATACATGTTTTTAAATGTGAACCAGTGGATCGACAAAAAGCTAATGCATTATAAAAATCTAAACAATTAAAAGACACTAAGATATATGTATGTTATTTAATATAATAATTAATTGATAATAACTGTTTAAATTAATATAATTGATACTTTTGACTCATCCCTTTTCTTAATAAAAATGCTGGCCCTCGTCACTATCAAAGTTGTCCATCCCTGATCTAGGTTAATATAAATGAACATACTATTAATAAACTAGTTTTCACTGTTTATTTATGTTTAATGTTTGAAATATAAACTACCTTTCAAAAGTTTGGGCTCAGTAAGAATTTTTAATTTTTAAGTCTCTTACGCTTACTAAGTCTTCATTTATTTAATCAAAAAACGTAATAATGTGAAATATTACAATTTTTAAAAAATTATTTTAAAATGTAATTTATTTCTGTTACATGATCCTTCAGAAGATTTTTTATCATCACGTAATCCTTTAGTAGTGCTCTAGGAGTGCCCAAGAAACATTTCTTATCAATGTTGAAAATGGTTGTGCTGTGTAATATTTTAAGAGAATATAATGAATATAGTTCAAAAGAACAGCATTTATTTGAGACAGAAATATTCTAAATGCCTTTACTTTTGATTAATTTAATTAATCTTTGCTGAATAAAAATTCCTTAAAAAAAAAAAAACTTGCCGACCCCAAACTTTCAAATAGTAGTGCAATAAAAATGCAAAATTAAATAATTTTAAAATAAAAACAAAATAAACACTAACAAAGATGATTTTTTTTCCCTGGAGGTCAGAGAATAATGAACATGCTTAGTTTTGAAAATCTTTAAATTATTAAAATATTAACTTCAAATTTCAGGGGGTAATTTCATGTCAAAGAGGTTCAGCCGACAAAAAAAAAAAAGAGACTCCCTGTATAAGTATTGACCATTGACCTTACTCAGAGTATAAGCATAAATAAGTATGACCGGTTTTGACAGAAATACAACAAAGATTTTTATTTTTGAAAATGGTATTTCATTGGCAAATGCTCTGATAATATGCAATAATATGGTTAAACAAAACTAGCATACAATCGTTAAAGCTCAGAACATAAAAACGTACTACAGGAGAACAAATGTTACAGTTCTTCTACTTTGCTGTGTGACTAATAAGACAAAGAGTATCAAAGTAAAAACCAATCCTTAGCTGACTGTACACAGTGATACTGATGTGCTAGGAAATGGCAAACCTATTTACAAACACAAATGTCAAGAAAGACTGTTAATATCCAATGGGGCTGACTCACAAATAGCACCTATGGTGAGGCCAGACACGTCATGGGCAAACAAACACTGAAGAGTAACAGCTGCTGGCATGTCTTTATAAAACCAATCGTATCAAAGCCAGTTCCGAACGTCAAATAAGGCCTATATCTTACACCTCTTTTACCATGGGGCTAGATACAGTCATGCGTTCAATGACCACCTGCATTGACAGATGTATAAAATTGTCATTTTCTTAATAATCTGTTAAGGCAGTAATATTTTAACATTAGTTATATATATATACATAAAATTAAGAATCGTGGAATACATCAGGACGTTTTATTGAGACAGCTACAGCATCAAACAAAACCGACCCAGTATGATAGACTAAACACTGTAATCTACACAGGGTGGGGGGGGGGAATGTTCAACATTTCTAACATGTAAAGAACACTATTTCACATGTATGAATATCAGACTGTGATTCTCCTTCAAAACATGATCTGAATGTTTCCGTCAATAGAAAGCATGAAGAGTACATTAAATGTGCAAAGTCACCTGTCAAGCACACTGAGGCAGCAGTGTTCTATTTGCTTCATCTATGGCAACGGTGCCCAAACTAAAATACGCTGAAACCTATGTAGATTACAGTTTATACTGTTGCTTTTTACAAATGTTTCTGACAGTTTTCCTTTGCCATCTTAAAAATAAAATGAAGAACACAACAAGCATACCAATGGCCATGACTGATATTGACTGTCCCTTACATCTTTGTTTTTTTTTGTGTGTCTAGTTTTTGTCATCCTTCTTCTCTTCCTCTTCAGTGGGGTATGAATGCCAGGTGAGACGTTCCTCGTAAAAGGAGATGACCACTTGTGGACACTTTACATTCGCCTCCTTGGCTGGTACTAGATCAGCTTCATCAGAGTTTTTCCTGTAATATAAAAATACAAAAAAAGACATTAACAACTAATCAACTATTTCTCATCCGAGATGGGTTTCTTGAGTAGAGAAAACTGAGGGCAATTGTAACATTTACATTTCCTTCAACTCGCAGACAACTCAAAATACACCAAGCCATCTTTTGTTATATGTGCCAAAAATAACAGCTCCAGTAAATCTAATATTAATATACTGTAAACATGATAATACTATAATTCCATATCAGATGTTAATAACATCACAATTGTCCCCATTATGGAGGTGATTGCAAGGGTACGACTACATTTCAAGCATATGACATTGATTTGGTCCTGGCAATGAAGTTTGGCAACAGGATATGATTTCATCTGTTTTTAATAAATAATTCCAAAGCTTTCCCTCAACAGTGCAAATCATACGGCTGTATGAATGTGTAGGTCAGAGTTCACCAAACTTGAACTTTAGTATCCAGAGGAAGATGAAGCTTGCATTTCCACTCTCTCGCGTTTGTATGCGTATGAATGGAAGTGAATGGAGTCTTATGTGGCCACACTTAAAAGGGATAGTTCACATTAAAAATGACAATTCTGTCATGATTTAATCACCCTCATGTCATTCCAAACCTGTAAAAAAAAAAAGATACTCCAAAAATGGCCTCACTACAGCTCCTTTTGTGTTCCACAGAACATGAAGGGGAGTAAATTACAGAATTTTTATTTTTAGACGAAATACCCCTTTAACAGTGAATGGGGGCAATTGTAATGCTTGAAAAATAAACCATTTTACAGCAATATAGCAAGCAGTAATGGCAAGGTCAAAGCATAAATTTGTATGCCGCATAAACTATGTATACCTTAAATATACTGTTTGCTTGCGTATTTATGTCTCTTATGCACACCAAGGCAGCATTTATTTTATCAAAAATACAGTAAAAAAATATATATATTTTTTTTAATTTATAAATATATAAATGTTTTCAATTTTGTGTCTTCTATTTTAATTTTTATTCTATTTTAACATTTTAAAATTATTATCATATAATTTAATCTTTTTATCATGTAATGTATTCCTATGATGGTGAAGCTGAATTTGCAGCAGCAATTACTTCAGTCTTCAGCGTCACGTGATTCTTCAGAAATCATCCGAATATGCTGGTTTGGTGCTCAAGAAACATTTATTATTATTATCAATATTGAAAATATTGGACATTTCAAAGACCAGCATTTATTTCAAATAGTAATCTTTTGTAACATTATAAATGTCTTGCCATTTAAGTAATTTTTGCTGAATAAAATAATTAATTTCAACAAAAATAAATAAATGTTACTGACCCCAAACATTTAAACAATAGTAAAATAACATTTCTTACACATTTTATATATTCAGTGTAGTGTTACAATTACACCGACCCAAGAAGTGATAAAATGTTGCATAGTAGCTACCAGTTAAAATGTTGACATTTCTCATTCTCGTTAACTTTTAACCAGTTGATAGATATTAGTTTCAATATGAACAGTGTTGGGGAAAGTTACTTTTAAAAGTAATGCATTACAATATTGCGTTACTCCCTAAAAAAGTAACCAATTACGTTACTTCGTTACTTTTTATGGAAAGTAATGCGTTACGTTACTTTTGAGTTACTTTTTAAATCTGGGCAGGGCTTGCTTGTTTGTTTTTAATATAAAAAAGTTCTTCTTTTACACATGTAAAAGCCCTTTCACAACAAAAGTGAAATGAATACGCCTCAGGCTGAAGGAAACGTAAATTCGCGTCTGTACAGTAGAGGGCGCAGCTCAAACAAACTGCATGAAGAATATGACGCAGGAGAAGAGTTCAACACTATTCAGCAATAACACAAATGAAACACAAATGTGTCATTTTTGCTTATTAGTATGGTTGAATTAGATAATCGAAGGTCAGTAGCAAAGACATTGGTTAAAGGAACACTCCACTATTTTTTTAAAATAGGCTCATTTTCCAACTCCCCTAAAGTTAAACAGTTGAGTTTTACCATTTTCGAATCCATTCAGCCGATCTCAGGGTTTGGCGGTAGCACTTTTAGCTGTAGCTTAGCATAGATCATTGAATCTGATTAGACCATTAGTATCTCGCTCAAAAATGACCAAAGATTATAACCAAATATAACCAAAATATTTTTCCTATTTAAAACTTGACTCTTCTGTAGTTACATTGTGTACTAAGACCGACAGAAAATGAAAAGTTGCGATTTTCTAGGCCGATATGATATGATATTATGATGATATTACGCTGATATTACGATGATATTACGCAACGCCTGAAAATAGTCCCCAGCACTCTCTCTGTGCAAGCAGGTGGTCACGTTGGTTATGTTGACGGAAGTTAGCCCGAGGAATACTGAATCTGTTTTTGTGCAGCGAGATGAGTAAATAATGTTCATATTTAGTCTAGAACTACAGTAACACACAACGCCACTGCACTTACTCCCGATTTCTCTCAACATGGCAACACGAGAGCAGTCAGTCAATACATGGGAAACATAAAACTAGCGTTACTTATTTGAAAAAGTAACTCGGATATTTCCTTCTAAATTAAAAAGTAATGCATTACTTTACTAGTTACTTGAAAAAAGTAATCTGATTACGTAACTTGCATTACTTGTAATGCGTTACCCCCAACACTGAATATGAAGGCATCAAAACTTTAGAAAGCAAAAGTCAAAAATACAAATCATGCTTTCCTTTCATAAGAGTGTTACAATTGCCCCCAGTCTCTCCTAATGCTGCTCAGGAACTGTCTCTCTAATCCAAAATTTGTTTGTTTTTTTACGGGTAACAATTTCCATACAAACCATTTCATGAGGAACATGAGTTCTCCACTTGAGTCTGTAGCACCAATAATCCTCTCAGGATCCAAACCACGTGTAAAACCTCTGAGTTTCTCAGGCTAAATTAAGAGAGATGGCATGTAAGACACTGTTTAGCCCATTCAATCTATTTTGGTTTTCTAATGTTTTAAAGACACTTCCTGACCAGCTTATAGACATGGAATGATGTAGACATCTCAGATCCTCAGATCTTCATGGCTCTTACCTCATCCTTGCGCTTTTTGGTCTCCTTTCCATCTCCGTCTGACTCTGCCCGCCTCTTGCCTCCAGATTCAGCCGATTTCTGCGACTTAAGGAATTCTGCTATGAGGTCAGGACAGTCTAGGTTGTCCTCTGGTTCCCAGGTGTTGTCGCCGCTGAGGAAAATAAATAAATAAACACCAGGATTTTCACACAAAATCAAGTTGAAATCTAACTGCGGCTGCTCACTCAGAAAAGCCTTTCCACTTGAGGAGATACTCCACTCTTCCCTTCACCACACGCCGATCCAGGACCTTCTCCACAACATACTCCTCTTCTACTTCCTCCACCACTTCTTCCACTTTCTTTTTGTTCTGTTTCTTCCCTGCTGTTGATTGCTTGGTTTCAGATTGAGTATCTGGAGCTGGATACATGAATGGTGGGTGGAAAATACATAAACATACAAGTTGACCTAAATCATTTACCAGAGTTTATGTCAAAATACCACAGTTGCAACAGTTGTTGTTTCTACAGCAAAATATGGGTAACTTGATACCAGCAACTATTGCCATAACATAAAAAATAATAATAATAAAAATTAAAGGGACAGTTTACTCAAAATAAAACTTCAGCCATTATTTACTATTTCATTATTTTTATTAGGACGAAAGTTAGAGGCTGTCCACATCATTCGCTTTCATGTAATATTTTTCCATACAATAAAAATGAAGAAGGCTGTCATCCTCCATAACAACTAATTTTGTGTTCCACAGAAGAAAATAAGCCGTACGGGTTTGAAACAACATGAGGGTGAATAAATAAAGGGCAGTGCTGGGTAGACACATGTAATTTGGATTACATAATCAGAATCCAAAAATGTTATTTGTAATTAGATTAAATTACATTTTAAAAAGCTTATAATCAAATTTAAACTAGTTTTTATGGATTACATGATTACATATTATTTACACATTACTTTGACAAAATATTTAAATAGACCCCCTGTGATTTAAAGTTATTATTTCAATATTATTAATATTTATTAATAATATTATTATTAATATTTAATATATTAATATTTCGATATGTTTTCTGAGGTCAGTCAGTCAATGGTCATCACACTGCGATGCAGGTAATAAATATAAAAATATTTATATTTTAAAGTATCTTTTTTCTCACTTTTTTATTTTTTTACATTTTTAATAGTATTTCTTTACATTTTGATATATATATATATATATATATACATATATATATATATTTTATATTTTTTTTTTCAACATGTTACAAAACAGTCCCATTCAAATATATGTGACAAACGAGATCGTAATCTAAAGTAATCTAAAAGTAACCAAAAAGTAATAAGACTACATTATTTTCAGGTAATCTGTAATCAGTAACGACCTACAATTTGCAAGTAATCTACACAGCACTGATAACAGGTGTACTGTCCCTTTAAACAAAAAAAGATTACGAACGATTCGTATAAATTCGGATGAGATATGTCATATCAATTTACCATGGTTTTATAGCAAATAATAACTGTAACTATGGTATTTTGACTAATTTTGTTTGTTTCCATTGCAAACTAATAGAAAAAAAAATCCAAACCTTCAGTCACAGCAGCATCGTCTGAAGGCTCTGACGTTTGGCTCATATTTCCAAGGGTTCTTAACAGCTGGAAATATATATAGATCTTTATAAATACAGATAAAACAAATACAAATATATATATTTTCTGAGATATATCGATCACAAATTTCGTAAGCACACTACACTCATTTCATCTGAACGTGTGTTGGTTTACCTAGAACGTGTGTTGGTTTACCTAAGGGATTCAGCTGTACTACACATCTGCATGCATAATATGACAAACACTAGGACTGTCTGTTATGCATTTGCGACGGCAGGCCAGCGCGAGCGACAAAACCCATTCTGAATAAATGCATTGCATGCTTCACGTGCTGTGCTCGATGGGATGGATAGAGCAGGACGCCGCTGTTTTACTGTATTTTATTCCTCCATGTTGTTTTAGGGAGCTCAAGCACGCTATTCGATGTCTGCTGTGGTCAAAACATCTTGCATCCTTGCCGCAGCACGTTTGATCGCTGCGATTTTACCACAACAAACGCTACGTGCACGAGCCCGTAAATCGGCGGCACGCCGAAACAAACGCACTTACTTGTATCTCGTTGAGATAAAGATGAAATAAAGCTGATCTGCATGTATTTAAATCCGAAATGAATAGGTTGCAGTGATTAATTACAGACGTCTACTGTGCTGTGGTGCTGCTGAATGTGGTTGTTATTCACGCCCACTTCCGTATTAGAAAGGAGACAAAACGGTGACTTCCGGTGTAATTATCTCTATGGTTTCTTTCATCATAAAAGTGGATTTGCTTTATTAGATATTCTGGAGGATGGAATTATGACTGGTGTTACGCAATACTGGTCTTACAGCCTAATATATCTACTACTTTCTCCATTGAAATCCTCCTCTCCTCTTACTCCTTTCTCTCCCATGTTGCTTCAAGCAGATGTGTGAGCCATCTTTACACAGCCGAGATGCAGCATCTGTGCCGCTTTTGCAGATGTTCTTTCATGAATTTCAGAGGGGAATGTGTGAAAATGTGGGCTTCACACTTAAAACAGCCGTACACTGCCATGCAATGACACCTGCTGCATTAAAGCCATACTAAAAATGCAGCTCTGATCGCTTTGCTTTCAGGTGAATTATGCAGCATTGAAACTTAATTGTTGCCAGTATCAAGTTTCAATGTCCATAGCATCTGTATGTATGTGTAAATACACCTTTTCATGGTATATATTTAGCTTCTGTCTAGTATTTGTAGAGGTCATAAGCAAATAAACAAATATGTCCAGGTCAGGGGTCTACTTGTTATTTTCTCTGTTAATCAAAAGCAGTGTTGGGCAAGTTACTCTGAAAATGTAATTAAATGACTGATTACTCCTTTTAAAAATAATCACGTTACTGTTCTGATTACTTTATTTCAAAAGTAATTAGTTACATTACTAGTTACGTTACTTTTTTCTCTCCATGAAATCCCAGCATACACGCTCCCGATAAGTATTTGTTATTAAAGCATCAACATTCCCAGAACACTGTTATTTGAACTAAAGCAAGCGGCTGCTGCGTGCATGGTTTGGCATGGCAGAATGCCAGCAAAGAGCGCTGCATTTATAATCTCTAAAAGACATCTCAGTTCATCGCAATCTCACAAATCTCTGTTATAACACAACAAATATATGCACAATGAATCTTTCATAATGTCTACAATTCGTGTGTTATAATGAGAGGATTCGTGAGCAAGCAAATTTCAGCACTGCATTGCTCAATGCTGCAAATACGTGTTATAGCCCAAATAGAAACTCTGCATATTAAATTACTCCGTTACTAAAAAAGTAATCAAATGACAGTAACGCGTTACTGCCCAATACTGATCAAAAGTAAGTAAATAAATAAACGGAGAAAAGACAAAATAAATAAATTTATGAAAAGACAATGTTATGTAGGTTATTTCAAGCTCATTGAAGTGAGTGTGCTGCCCATAGTCAAGCCAGCATGGTGACAGAACATTGAACAACCACTAAAAGAATGAAAAGCACAGAAACAAGGACCCAAACTGTCCATCCCATCAGACGATGGGCTTTGTACTTTGATCGGCACTGTTTATATCTTGCTGCTGTTTATATCAATTAGTATTACATTTAATTAATTCATATTTAAATTATTGATTATTTTAATTAGTGTATTTCCTTCAGCTGTTACTGATTTTGCATTGTCTATCAATAGTGCTATTTAGTTAGGAGCATTTGTATTTTCAATTGACCAAAGTGTTTAGAAAGCAGCTGATGTCGTATTTAAGACTTACCAACTCATAAATACAATCTTCCTAGGAGGACCATAAATTGTATTCAGCTGGTCATGGGATCTCAGCGTGACAGGCCCCATGAAGTGACCAACTTTATGTAAAATAAAACAGCTTTTATTTGGCTGACTTGATTGGAGTCTGACCATATTTTTCAAAATGATTATTCATGTTGTATATGTAAAAACTTGTTGTTCTATATCTGTTGCCACGTCTTGTTAAATTTCCTTTGGTAAAACCAGAGCGAAGAAATGACTCAATAAATAGGTTGTGCTAGTACCCGCTCCATCTTATAGGTGGCAGTGATGAACAACGACAGTACAGCATCTGTGCTTTACAAGGCAGAGAAGTGCGAGTCGACGAGGGTGTTGTTGACATTCCCAGGAGCCCTACAAAAGTTTTCTGCAGTGCTATGGCAGTATTGTCAGTGGCCTCAAATTCATGTTTTCAGCCGGACAGGTGAAAACACTGAGCCGTCAGATGACTGTGCGCTTCGGCTGATTTTGTGGAAGTGGTTGTGAGTACACTTTCGGCTTTTCTGGGTTGGGCCAGGAACAGCATACGAGGTCATTGGTCGCAACAGCTCATTTCTCAGAACAGACTGTTTTCAGTTATTGCTACTCTGTGCTGTTATTTCATGTAAGTGGGTATTACGCTTATCAGTCTGCAAGCATGTGGTTTAACCTTTCGATGCATGAATTTTTTAATAATTAAACAATTACATTATTATAAATAAGTTTCTTAATCAAAATATTACTACTAAATACTATATATGCTATTATATTACTACTTTTAAAAAAATAATGTATTTTGAGAGGGTTACACATTTGTCCACTGTAGTTCCCTGTTTTTAGGGTTGTAATGTATATAAATGGCAACTAATGTAAAACAACATGCTATTACGACAAATATTAACATTATTAATTAATTTTTATTATTATTTTATTAATAGTATTAATTATTATTGTCATTAATAATAGTAATAACAATAATGCTTAATAAATATTTTAGATATAATAAATCTTAATAAATATTTAGTAGATCTTAATGGAAACTCCCAAAGGAATACACTTTTTTTTTTTGAAGATAAACTAAGAACATTTTAAAAATGTGCTTCACCACTTTCAGATCATGTTGAATTTTTGTTGCCATTAAAATGGGCATTGAGGGAGAATTATTCAGCTTCAGGTAAACAGCTGTGGTGGTTTAGATGTAATATCACACCCTGAAATGGCTTTTAAGTGTAGTGGGACATTGTGCATTAGAGGAATATGATAGCACAAGCATGACTGATTGATTGGGCAATCAAGATATCTAATACACAAGAAGAAAACATGTATACCTTCTCTTCACTCATTCAAATCAAAGTAAATAAATGTGTCTGGTTTAGGTTATCAGTATGACTCGCGATATCATTCTTGGAGATGAACTGCCCGACTGGGTCGGGGCGAAAGAGTTTTATCAGAAGTATGATCCCAAAGAGGTGATTGGGAGGTGAGTATTTGTTCGATTCAGCAAGTGTTTTGGTGTCACTTTTTGAGATATCTTGTAACTGAACTGTCCCCTGTGCAGAGGTGTGAGCAGTGTGGTGCGCAGATGTGTACACAAACACACAGGGCAGGAGTTTGCAGTGAAGATCATTGAGATCACTGCAGAGAAAATGACAGAACAGCAGTTAGAGGAGGTGAAGAGCTCCACACTGAAGGAGATCCATGTGCTCAATGTGGTGAAGGGCCACCCATCCATCAGTGAGTCTGAAATGTACTGCTAATGTACTGCTAATCTGTTCAAACCTTTCTGAATAGTAACTGACCTTATCTGTGCTCCTTTTTCAGTCACACTTATTGATTCTTATGAGTCAACCACCTTCATATTTTTGGTATTTGACCTGTAAGTATATATATTATTTTATGTTATATTATTATGAAAAGTTTGGGGTCAGTAAGATTTTTTTTTTAATTAAAGAAATAAAAGGATATTAATACTTTTATTCATCAAGGATGCATTAAATTGATCAAAAGTGACAGTAAAAACAATTATAATGTTACAGAAGATTTGCATTTTAAATAAATGTTCTATAAACTTCTGAAGAAGAATCCTGAAAAAAAAATCTATCACAGTTTCTTCAAAGATGTCAACATTGATAATCTTAGAATATTAGAATGATACTGAAGTGATACTGAAGACTGGAGTAATGGCTGCTGAAAATTCAGCTTTGCCATCATAAAAATAAATTACATTTTTAAATATATTAAACTAGAAAATTGTTATTCTAAATTGTAATAATATTTAACTATATTTAAATATGTTTTTACTGAAATTTTGATCAAATAAATGCAGCCTTGGTAAGCATAATCTTAGCAAGCCCAAACATTTAAACAGTAGTGTATATGTTGTAATTTCACACACATCTTTTCATACAGCATGAGGAGAGGAGAGCTATTCGATTACTTGACTGAAAAAGTCACTCTCAGTGAAAAGGAAACCAGGTGAGGTTTCAGTTTATTCTCAGATCTTGCTTCAAGTTTCTATGGTGGCAAATTGTTCTCCTCATACCATAATTAGCCACAAATATTTCCTGCAAAACTCTTCTCGCTTTTAGGAGTATGATGCGTGCTCTTCTGGAGGCTGTCCAGTATCTACATTCTCTAAATATTGTACATCGTGACCTCAAACCTGAAAATATTCTGTTGGACGACCAGGGACACATCAAACTTTCTGACTTTGGCTTTTCAGTCCAGCTGGGGCCTGATGAAAAACTAAGAGGTGAGAAAATCAACCCTGTCCTTCCACAGCGGCAAATCAAAACAGATTCTCATACTTTTTAAAATTGAACAACATACAATGTTGTTACACTGGTCTTTGTCCATTTCCTTTGTTAGAGTTGTGTGGAACACCAGGATATCTGGCACCAGAGATTCTGAAGTGCTCCATGGATGAGACACATGAGGGATATGGGAAAGAGGTTGACCTGTGAGTTTTGCTATTAAACCTTAATAAACCTTTCTTGGGGTCACAAAAGCTTTGTACTGCAGCTGGTTCATCATTTGCTCCATGTTTTTCCACAGGTGGGCTTGTGGTGTGATCATGTTCACGCTTCTTGCTGGTTCTCCACCATTCTGGCATCGCAAACAGCTGCTGATCCTGAGAATGATCATGGAAGGCCAGTACCAGTTTAGCTCTCCTGAGTGGGATGACCGGTCTGACACTGTTAAAGACTTGGTGAGATTCTCTTAGCATTCTCTTAGCCTGTAGCATATAGGCGAACTGCTAGCGTTGAGAA